CACACACACACACACACACACACACACACACACACACACACACACACACACACACGTTACATATTTCCATCTCAACAACCCTGAAACAAGTTGAGTCATGTAGGTAAGCACCCTTAATGGATGGTTCATCTATAGTAAAATTCCAAGTATTCTGCCTATTTTCGTGTGCCACATTTTGGCTGGTGAACACAAGTGGAAACGGGAGGATGAGTGTGTGTGTGTGTGTGCGTGCGTGCGTGCGTGCGTGCGTGCGTGTGTGTGTGTGTGTGTGTGTGTGTGTGTGTGTGTGTGTGTGTGTGTGCAAATCAAGCTATCGTAAATCCTATAAAATCATCACAGTCTAAAATAAAACTGTCCCATAAATCCCCATAAAGATTTTGCAGGTTGGAATGAGACTCCATGATTCTAATAAGCGTTGCGTTAGTTTAAAGAAATGTACAGGAGGTTCCCAAGCTGAGAATACAAATCAAGAGGCTGTTCCTAGAATGAATTCTTCATAAATCAGAACACATGTCATTTCAATCTATAATTGCCATGCATATGTAAACGGTGAAGGAGAAGGAGGATAGAGAGAAGTAATTGTTGGTGAGAGACAGACGTGACCTCATCGCAGGAATGTTCTTTGGGGAGAAGAAGGCTTCCTTCCTCTTCTCATCATAAATGCGTGTTGAGGTGTGAATATGGAGCGGTGTCGCTCGCCGTGCGTCGCGGCAAAGAAGGGGAACTATGATACTGAACACTACGATGTGGCGCGTGGTTAAAAACACGGCATTTTACAAACATTTATGGACGTCGGTCAGCGTTTGTATCTACGAATGACCTACGTATGACGAATGACCTCTTGCACAGAAAATCTGTGTAAAATGTATGCAGGTTAATCATATGAACAACCCAATCCACAAAAAGATGGAGGTTAAAAGAAGACTACTATAAATCACCTCAAAATTTAAAAAGAAGACATTATTTTACAACCTAAGTTTTTAAAAAGTCCGTCCCCAATAAGTCTTTGGCTAAATTCTTTGAGTTTCGTGAGAAAAAGACACCGTGTGAACAAGTCAACAAAAGCATTTGGCTTGTATCGTTTCTGTGTCTACGTGATCGGGTTCACACCTTTTTTCATTCGAAACGAGGCGATTTTGAGACTGACGAATACCGTCACAAAACAAGCCTAGAATTATTTGTCACTGTCAGTCACCACTAGGTCATCGTGTGGGAGGTACTTTTTACTGCTGACTTCAATTTTAAGAACAGAACTACAACTTGAAGTGCGAATGTTCAGCCAATTAAAGAGTCCCTTTTTTTAAATAAAACTACCGTAAATCCTCGATAATCTTCTTTCTTCTTCTTCTTCTTTATTGATCCGCTTATCGTCACAAGGGTTGCGGTACATGCTAGAGCCTATCCCAGCTGTCTTTGGGCAGTAGGCGGGGGACACCCTGAACCGGTTGCCTGCCAATCGCATGCCTCTACAATCTGTACAGGTTAAAACAGGACTACCATAAATCGAAGAACATCAATTCAGATTAAAATATGACGACTGTGAGTTTGTAAAATCTGCACTAGACTTCTTTAAATTGCATAAGTTATGCAGGTTGTAATAAATCTACGGAAAATTCAATCAGGTTGCACAGTTTTGAAAAGGCTGCAAAAAATAATGTAGAAACTGTGCAGGCTCAAATAAAATTACAGTTCTACCCGCTCCGCTTAAAAATTGTGCATGTTGGAAAAAGACTACCGGTGTCAGAGAAAGACGAACATGTATCCATCAAAAGTCATGCGGCAAGGAAACCGTAAATTCCCTCAAATCTGCACAGATCAAAATTAAACTCACATGAATCCCATTGAAATCGTGCAGGCTCTCTTTGTGAATTTGAAAACACAGAGCCAGTGCATTGTGCCACAATGAAGACACATCCAACAATTAAGTTCCATAATTGGAACAAGTTGGCGCTGTGATTCTGTCGCGTGCCGTCCCCCAGACGTTGCGGAACGCGCTCGTTCACTCATGAATATTCACCAGCTCGGGTGCCTTAAAGGAGAGCAACATTGAGCACAATGCACCCCCTGCGCCCACAGCTCGTCTAGTTTGCCACTTTGTCCACTCCACAGGTGCGACCCGGAGAACGGAGTGGGCGCCTCACCTACTTGAAACAAATAAACCCCTCCCTCAAATAAATGTCTCTCTTTTTCCATTTGTGAAAAAAAGTGCCAGTTCCCAAATGCTACCATAAATTGACAACACGACATAGTGAACAGAAGAGTCTGTTGTGTTGCAAACCAAAAACAGCAGCACCTACAGAGAAGGGGTTAAATCGTGTTTCAATTGGAGAAAAGTGAAGAAACTCACCTGTAAAGAATTTCCTACGCACCCGCGAAGTTTAACGTAGTTGATTGTACCACGTTGGACTCGTGGTTGGTTAACACGTCTGCTGCACACGTTTTGCTTCCTTTCCTCAGACCTTGCATCCTTCCTTTCGCCTGTTTGTGTGCAACACTGCTTAAAAACTCTTTCTCGATTCATGTTGTGCGATCATCTTTTTGCCATTCATCACGGTGGTACATGAATACACACAAGTGTCAAACTCAATGCCTGGTCTGACACGACGTCATTTTATGTGGCTCGCAAACGCAAATTGCAGTATGTGCATCGACTTCATGTTTCTTGCGAAAATGCCTAAAGCGCAAATTAGTCTTCAGTTTTACAAATGTTGAGATATTGCAGCCATTTTTTGTCACCAATTCTCTAACTGTTTTTACAAGCCTCTGATTTCAAAACCGGCAGCCCGTTGGTCCAGTGGTTAGTGCGTCGACCTCACAGTGCAGAGGTAGCGGGTTCAATTCCAGCTCTGGCCTTCCTGTGTGGAGTTTGCATGTTCTCCCCGAGCCTGCATGGGTTTTCTCTGGGTACTCCGGTTTCTTCCCATATTTCAAAAACATGCATGACAAGCTGATTGAACACTCCAAATTGTCCCTGGGTGTGAGTGTGAGCGCGCGGATGGTTGTTCGTCTCTGTGTGCCCTGCGATTGGCTGGTAACCGGTTCAGGGTGTCCCCCACCGACTGCCTGAAGACAGCTGGGATAGGCTCCAGCACCCCCCGTGAAAGCGGATCGGAAAATGGATGGATGCATGGATGATTTCAAAACTATTCATCAATTTGTTGCGGGTGACAAGGTGAGGCGATCATACATTTGTTTGGGTTTGCTATCATAACAGCCCTCCAAAGGAAACCATAACTACAACGTGGCCCCCAAAATTGAGTTTGACACCCTTCTTCTCAAATAATAAATACTGTACGTTTATTTGAAAAAGTGTATTGGTCCAACCTACAGTATTTTAAGTTGTTTGGTGGAACAAATCGTATGTTAACACTTTTTTTGGAGGGGGCGGGGGGGGGGGGGGGGCGGGGGGAG